CCCATTTGTCCCTAACCATGTATTCATTAAAAAAAAAAACCAAAGCAGCATTGAAATTCCTTTTAAATAGCACTTGTGCTGTTGTACTTAAAGCTGGAAAGAGCTTTGAGCTGTTTCTAATAGAACACATGTTAAAAGAGAGAAGTACTGTGGAGATCTCCTGCTGTACACTAACTTGGTGACAGACAGATGAATATGGTGTGGTGTGCTCAGCATGTCACCCTGGCACCTTGAGCCTGTCTTATTGGTAAGGGAAAACCTGTTGTAATACACAGAACACTTAAGAATATGAAGATATAACTGGCCATGTGTCTTGATGACATTTTAGCTAAGAGGGAAAATGCAGCTAACAGGACCTGGTGTTTGGAAACGCATTCCAAAACCATTGTGGTCTGTCCCAGCTGAGGCTGCTTGAAGAGAAAGCTGAACCAATTTGCATAGCTCTCTAACTACTGCTCTAAGAACTGATTGCTCCTTTCCTGGTATAAACAAACAAGTAAGTACAGATTAATCTGGTTCATTTTTAGCGAAGGTCAACTAGGGAGCTTTCACAATGGTTTCTCAGAAATTTGTGTTCTCTGATCAGCATCCTGTATGTTCCTCATGCAGTGATCTCGTGTCAGCTGCACTGAGCCAGCCATGTGTTTACCCCAGTGTTTGTGCCTCATGTTAAGGAAGACATGTCTTGCCTTCTAACATGACTCTGAGACATAAAGAGATGTATATACTGCCAGTCGCCTCAGAGAGTTAAATGTCCCACTTTCCCTAGTGCTGCCTGCACAATTGATGGCTGGCTTTCAACTCAGGGCACACAACTTCATCAACCTGCACAGGGTTTGCACACAGATGTGTGCATGACGCCACATGGCTGTGACCACAGAGAGTAGGCTGCAGTGGGTGCAGAGAAGAAGCTTGAGCCTTCAAAAAGGAGACCTCTATTACTTTCATATAGCAGGCACTAACAAGTGACATGAAATCAGCCTGAAAAGCCTTATAGTTTAGAGGCAGGTGACCAAATGCTAATCCTGTGGCTGCCAGCAGCTAATATTAGCGGAGGAAGAGGATCTGTACTGACTGCAACTTCCATGTCATCACATAAGACTTAAATAAGAGCTCAGTTGGAAAATGGAGAGAGAAAGGTAATTTTGCAGTATCTGTGCTGCACCACAGGCTGCCTTGGAAAACCCCTGAATTCTGCACCATGGTGTCCGAGCTCAGAGACACCACCACTATTCTAAGAAAAACCCTTGCTAAGGCACAGCCTATTTGCTATTACTCCTGCTGAGTATGGCAGGGTTCCTTTAAGTAGCTTGCTCCTAGCACAGCCTGACCCTCTACACACAGTTCATGAGTAAGGGAGTGCTCCCCCTGACAGAGCAAACCTTTGCTGCAATGGAGAAATGCAGTAGTTTAGCACCCAGACAAATTATTTTGGGATTTCTGCACTGGACTGAGGCTGACACATCCCACAACCAAAGGGATGTGTGCTATAAATGCACCACTTTTCTCTCATGAGTCTGTGTCTTCACATAGTTTACAACTGTGCAACGTTATCAGGGCTGATCTGTAGGGTCATCTAAACAGGTCTAGCATTGAACCAAAATCTTTAGTTCTTCAACTAAACATTCTTCAACAAGCCTGATCCACAATGGCAGCAACACTGGCATTTGGAGCAGTATCTCTATTTACACATGGAAAGAAGCATTTTTCCCATAATGCCAATATCAGTGAAGTAACAAATAACGGCAAACAGCACTATGCACACTCTTTAAGCTGCAAGTAAATTACCAAGCATGCCTTATTTTCTAAAATCAGAACAGTCCATTAACTACATAGGGCAAAATTCTACAGCTGACTCCCTTCCCTCTGCTACACAAATTTTACATTCAGTTACACAGTCACAAAACAGGGCTGTTGGAAGGAACCACTGCTTACCTACAACCAAAACCACATCAATATGACTAATCACATCAGCTCTCTTACATGTCGGGATCTAATGGCTTCTACTTATAGCCTTTAAATAAAACAGCTTGTCTACATAATTTTCACTCAGCAATACAACTAATTCCCATTTTTTGAAGAAGCAGCTTTAATACCCCCCTGATGCTTAAAATCCATGAGACAATACTTATGATCATACTTCACAGAACATATGTGCATGCTGCCCAGTTACCGTGGGAAGGCACAAGTGTAGCCTTTCAGATCCCATGGAGATTGAAACGAACCACAAAGTTATGTTTCTTAACAAAAATATGGGGTTTTTTTCTACTCTGACCCAACAGTGTCACCATCAACAACGGTGAAAAAGTGCTTTCTGTTGCAGCAGTAGGTTTGCAGGTGTGACTGGTCTGTGGAAGGAGGTAGAACATTTTTCTGCCAGTTCTATGAAAAAAGTATGTCTTTCATGATCAGAAGGTTTCTGAGGGTTTTACATTGGGAAGACACTTCCCTGCATGTTTGCTGCTTGTACATAAAGCTTCACTGTCATTTTTTTCCAGTGGTTAATGGACTTCCTTTACATCTTCTGGAATCCTTCTATAGATCATCCATTGGAAAATGCATTCACGTGACATGTCTAAGTACTTGATTTGGTTTGTCTTATCAGTCTGGGAGCTTGTTCCCCACTTTCTCTCTGATCTGAAAGAACAAGATGTCAAGCCACTAGTCTGACTGCCATTGGTTGAAGTAGAGCCCCTGAATAAAAACACAGCTATCACCGATGGCCACAGCTATCACCTGGAAGCAACAGAGGCAAATCTGAAGTCTGGTTCCTTAGAACCTGTGGCATATACTAACTTCAGTCATACCAACACCTACTGAGTTTGTGTGCTTAAGCATTTGCAGGCTCAGGCCTTTGAATCAAACTGAATCTTTAGAGATCATGTGTCTATTTTTCCCTTCTGTCTGTTGACAAGCAATCCTAAGAATCTGTCACTAGCAGGCAAAAATAGAAACAGGACAGGAAAAGCTATGGACCTCAAAAGTGTTTCTGGAATTTCAGTGTGAATAAATCTCTCATGATGAGCTTATGAAAGAACTGCCCTTGAAAGTATCGTGGAGAACTTTCGGGAAAAAAATCCCATAAAGACACAAACCAAAAGCTTACTGCAGTAATTAAAATATACTCTGCAGAGGATGGTGATGGTAATGTGAAAAGCTCAGGATCTATCAGAACTCAAGCAAACTGATAAATACCATGAGGGATTAAGAATATTGTCAGTTCAGAGAAATCTCAGAGATTTAAACAGTATTCTCAGAACACTTTATAACAAGGAAAGCTCTGCCCTTTGTGGGTCTGTAACAGCACTGACAGACTTCAAGGGAGGCTCCAACTGTAGAGAACATAAACTTGGCCTGGCACAGGACACAAGAGAAAAACTTGTCTTCAGAGAATGGCCAATTCAGTGGCAACAAACATCTGCCTTTGTTTCATGGCATAGGAAATACAAGTTAGAGCAAGAGCTGTTGGTCTCTAAGCCACATGACGAGTTCAAGCTTAAGGAAATTAAAAGACAGAAGAGATGTCACATTGACTCATGCAGTTCTGTCTGATGGTGGCCAGTTTTAGTTGTTTAGGGAAAAAGTACAAGATACAAAGAGCAGAAGAAATATAATTCAGCTACGGATGAATTGAGTCACTTCATTTTCAACTGTGAAATAAGACACAGAGTACTATATTTCACATTCCCAGGTTGTGGCAAGGGAGTGGGTTGCAAATACTTCAGGCTTGTGTACTGTAATGTTGCCTTTGACATAAATTAGTTTCTCTTCACACATAAGCCGCGTGCAACTCAGTCAAAAAGGTTCTACGCTAAAATGAAAAGGAGAGAGAAATTCTGTCACCACTCCGTTACTCAACAGTAAATATATGAATGTAGGGAGAAGGGAGTTACAAAGCAGCCAGCTACTCCATGGGAAGTATGGAACTCTGAGGATAAAGAGAAAACCTGTTTGGGATATGAACAAATTCAATTGTAAGACTCTGAGCATTGGATTCTAAAACAATTGCTGCATTTCCCAATTACTTTTCTAGTGTTACAAAGTACTTTTTCTGTGAAAAATCTGTTTTCTAGGTTCTCCTTTGTTTTTGTTCTGCTACTGCAGGTACTGAGGAGAGACGATGTCATGGCCCCAAGCGCTAATATAAATCCATCCTATCTAGAGAAACAGACATTGGATTTACCCCGGTCATCTGCTCCATTATTTGCTATGATCCCCACCAGTTCTAACAGTTTTCTTCTAAACTGCCTGTTTCTTGCTAAGAAGACTTGTCCAGAAACAATGTTCTTGGAGAAGATGCACTATATGTATGTGTGCAAGCTGGTAGTTTTGAAACACTGTAGGTTCAGCAAAATTTCTCCCTGAATGTCATCCCCATGCACTGCTTCCCAGTGTGGACAAGGCTTTAGATCCTTCCATCAGTGTCAGCACCATCTCTGAGACTGTCCTTTTTACTTAATTTTGAGAGCATACAGAATCAACACACATGGAAGTACCCTCACATGAAAAAACAGTGCCATGAGAGGCAGCACGGAAAAGCTTCTGCAGGTTCAACCTGTGCTGCCCTTCCTACCGCTCACAGTAAATGAAGGACACCCAGGGATAGGCTGCCATCCCACTGCATGTGACACAAATGCATTCTTTTGTTTTCCTGACATGCTAGTTACCAGAACTTTTATTCATTTAAAGAAATAAAACCAAAAGAGATGACAAGAAAAGCAGATCTCTGACATCTTCTTGCATGTGGAGGTTGATTTGAAATGAAAAGTAGTGAAAATAAAGTAAGTCCAGCCTTTTAGATATCTGGCGTGAATTAATGGCAGCTGATTTTCTCAGTGCTGCAGTACTATGACCACACTCACTTCTCCAGATAAAAGCAACAGATCCTCACAAGAAAAGATAACTCACCTTTCTTGAACTGCTAGTGCTTTTAGCATTAGGTAGAGGAGACAGTTTTCTGGTTGAGATGAAAATCAGAGAGTTGAACAAAGGTTTCTTACCGTTAAGGACAAAGCCATGCAAACAAAAGTGAACTTCTTGATATGTGTTGCTGTGACGATGCTGTTCGTGTTCACCAATTTATTGCTGGGGTTATTCTAGGGTAAGAGAAAGAGATAGTGAGCATTAGCTTGGCTCCAGACTACCGGGAGGCTGACAGCACCAGGGTCATGTGCTGGACCTGACTGTCTGTGCCTGTCCGTGTCTGACTTTGCTTGTTTACTTTATAACCTAGAGCTTTCTGAGTACTTTGTACCACTACTTTGTACCATTTTCTGCTTAAACTGACACCAACTGCTGTTATGGTCACTGAAGAGCTGTAATCTCCGTACTTTTCTAAAGAATAAGTCTTATTTAATAAATTCAGCTTTGAAAAGGGATGATAGCTATTTCTAAGGAACCTCCACATGCTTTTTTTTAACCTGAGTGTGAAGTTTGTAGCATGTTTTCTCAGGAAAAACAAGATTTCATTCCCTTTCACCACAAATTGGTACCAAATCACCAATGCAAGCATCCTTACTGATCCAATTAGACAAGTAGGTAATATAAACAAAGCTCCTGGAACAGTCAGCTCCGTTAATGCAGTTTAATGAACAGAACATAATTAGGACTATTAGATGTTCCACCTTGAACATGGGCTCTGTAATCACATGGCAGCGAAGTTTTATTTAAAACAACAACAGCCTTCTTCCAAATATCTAATATAGCAAATGAAGCTGAAGATTTAAAATTGCCCTTGGGGAACACATAAAAACAATCTAAATGGTTTGTGAAAGAAGAGGATGGGATATCAAAGCGGGGCACTATTAGGAGCCCTGTAGCAAGAGGCTGTTGGGTCATCTATTGCATTTACCCTGGGGCTGTTTGAGATACACAAGTTTGTGCACCCACTGATAAAACCTGTACCATGAGGCATAGTACTACATTTATACATCCTTGATATAACTCAGGTAGAACAGCAGTATCTGTCACATGGTCAGCCTCCTTTACTGAAGTTACTTGTAAGAGAAATAGAACTGTTGCAAACACATCTTGGGAGGTGACAAACCAAATGTAAGCTCTGTGATTTCACACACATTCAGGTTGCTGATGGAATTTTGCACTTTAAGGCTTTTGTTCTGATCAGTACAGCAACTGCACCTAGACAGCCCCACACTCCTGCCTAAATACCTGCTTGGAAGTCTGGGTGCATGAAAATGCACATAGGCAGCCCAGACCCTAAAGCAGGATGCCACTCCCACAGGTGACCTTTTTTGAGAATAGGTTAGGAAAACTCTCTGTAAACACTTTCTCACGCATCTATTCCTATTAATTGTGTTTCTGAAGAAATACTTTGCTACGGTTAGTTTTTATATACATGAAGATAGGCCTTGCTTACATCACTCACTAGTGTTTAAAGGAACTTTCTGCAGAATGGCTTAACTTTCTAACAAGGCTAAAATGACAAAGAGGAAGGAAAACACACTCAAATCAAACCATCCAAAAGTTGTCATTCATTCCTACCTCATCGCTGCTATCTCTGCCTTTGTCCTACTCCACCCTTTGCTCTAACTCTTGACCACATACTCTTTCTTCCTAACTCTTGCATCCTACTTAGTTCTCAGAACAAAACACTGTGCAGATCCCAGAGGAAAAAGAATATCCATTCTCATCTAGTAATGAGACAAATAGCATTTGCAAGTCTTCTCACAGTTGCTCTGAATCAGGTTGCAAAGTCCATTAAGGGTAATGGCATTATCACCACATAAACCTGCATACAGAGTACAGAACTAGGATATGCCTGTTTTCTTTAAAAATATCAGTAGTAACCCTTAGTCTGAATCTAACTACTAGGTCATGAGGTTGCTCTGGACACAGTCTCACAAAAGACTGAACTAGGACTCTGCATCTCTCTTACAAATGTGAAGAGGGGTAATGATTTCCCTGTGAAGACAATCATCTGGCTTCTCAAGTAGAGCCACCAAAGAGGGGCATACTATTAGGATCCAAAATCCAAATCCCGTCAGTCAGTGTGCTTCTGATGGCCATCAGCATTGCCAGCTTTATGAGTAACTGACAAAAGAAAATGAGAGTTTGAATGCATACACACTGTTTTGGCATCTGAAAATCACAATGAAGGCTTTACAGGGTCCAGAAATAAAAAGTGTTTCTGTCCAGACTCTTCTGAGAAAGCCTTAGCTTAAGGAAAAAAAGCTTTTGAAAAGCATAGTGACACACAGAATACGTGTGACTGAGGGAAAAGCAATTCTCACAGCAATCTAAAAAAAACCCCAAACCACTGTGGGTTTCAGGTTTCGTATTTATTATCTGAAATGTACAGTGGAGGCATTTACACACATGGTTGCAAGGATATATACTGCTGCTACCTCACTTTGCACATTTTATTCCAAATTGCTCTTAAAACATGGAACTAAAATTCCCATTATGTAGTTTTTCAGCAATTAGATGAACTATAGCCATCTGTACCCTACCCTAGTGTTTTCTTCCTCACATTGTTCCACTGGAGCCCTATGAGCAACCTTTAAACTGAAATAAATGAATCAACAAATCATGGTCTAATCCTGTCACCACTACAGTTGTCAGCACATCTTCCACCAGCTAAATGAGAACTGAATTTAGGAGTCTTAATTGCTGTTACTATAGCTTGGTAATACTGCATTTGACTGTGGCTCAGATCAAATGAGGTTAGCAGCCCCTGAGTTTCCTGTCCCAAACTATTTTTATCTTGAAGTTTATTTGGTTTGCATCTGCAGTTCCTTTTCAGCAGTATGACCTCTGAGAAAGCCTGCATGAGGTATTTTTTCTGATAGGTCAGTTTACTTGTACACAGGCAGGTTAGGAGGTTATGACTGATTTGGCTTTGTTTTGGTTTTAAATTCTCCTTGGAAATACAGTGGATGATATCAAACAGGGCTTGCTCCAGTTAAACACATCAGAGCAAGCAAACATATTTTTCATGAGTATTTGGAACCAGAAAGTTCAGTTACTAATTGGTAAATAAAGGAAAGAAGAGGATCTGGCATTTGAATTCTAGAGTCACAGGACAGGACTATTCTTCATGCAACATATGGACTGGTGAGTACCAGTCCTTAATCAGAGAAAAAAAAAAGAGACTAAATAAAATCAATTTTTGTTACATATTTATGCTGCGCTCAGTTCCAGGAGCAGTCCTTGCATTCTTACATAATTACATGATATACCAACAAAAATCTTCATAGCCTTGGTCAGCTAAACCAGTGCAACTTATCTCTGTTACTGTCAGTCTGTGAAACACCCTTTGCTAAATATTAACATAAGCAAATGAACCCAAACCCACTTGAGAGATACCACAAAGTCTGGAGCAGCGACGTGAGCTTGCTCACTCAGTGGTGTCACTTTGGGAGAAATAACTTCACTACCTAAGTAGCTACATCATAGTGAGGACTTTTTTTAATCCTTAAAAATACAGCACCTATCTGGTTCAAAAGGCAGCTTAATACTTTGTAACACAGAGCTAAGATTAAAATCATAAATCAGACAACAGCTTGAAGCCACCCAAACCCAATTAATTTTAACTAGGATTTTAAAAAAAACCATCAGTGGAACAACAAACAGAGAGAACAAGGAGGACCACACATGCAAAACCACACAAAAGGTATTTATCACACCCCAACAGGGACACTCACCTTGTCAAAAGCAGGGTACACTGCTCTGATCTCTGTCAGCCAGCCATACGGCATGTGTCCCACAGGATATGTAGCTGTCAGAATTGCCACTGCCTACAAATGGAGACAGAGAGACATGAACTTCAAATCTTCAAACACAACAGTTAAACTAACGTACAATGACATTGTCCACCAATATCACCACATTGACCTTGACACAATGAGAAACCAGACAAGCGACTGAAAGCTCTTTGTTTCAGGAAGGCCATCAGAATGGCCACCATTTGGCCTGGCATTTTAAGCTTATGAAATCTTTTGTGCCACGAAGCTATCTATCTCAGTTTTGTTATTTCACCATTACTCTGGTGCTTTGGGATAATAGTTAACTTGAGCTGTGGTGCACCCCTCAGCCAGACAAACAGCTCCCTCACACATTGCTCCTGAGATTTTACTTACAGAGAGCTGAGTAGCAGAATGCCTTACACCTCATGGTAGCTTTGGATCATATTGCATAATTTTAAATTATATACATTTTATTTGGTATTCTTATGTACAAAACAGCTTTAAGCAAAACAGAGAGATGACAAATCAGTGGGCCTCAGTGGCTGACTGACATCAATCTGACTACACTGGGGCAGGAGGCACTTACGAGACAAAAAATTCCACCTCTCCCAGTGAACGACAAATAAAAATAATTCCAGATGAATATTTTTATCTTGAGAAACAACTGTCTGCCTGAAATTTAAAACTACACCCTTTTACACTTTCACAAGTACAGTCCAAGAGGTACATAAAAGACAAGTTCCCCTACATAGTAATGTATGAAAGATTTTGATGATGTTTCTGATTGCTGAAGACAAAGTCTAAATATATGTACTTCATGTCTTTCATGTAGAAAGGGTGCTTCAGAGCTCTTCGTGAGGCTGCCTGTAAATCTACTGTCACTCCAAGTTTTCTAGTCCTCAGTGCTAAAGGATGCATCTGTACTGAGAACTGCATGAATCTCTTAATTCTTAGAAATCAAAGTGCTTGGTTGCCTTTTGACTGCAGGTTCAGGTCTGCTACCATCCACCTAAATTCTTATTCATTTTACATCTGGTATGGGTAGCTTCAGGAAAGACCTTTTGTAACTACTGCTGTCTGTTTCAGTGCTAAACTTTTGATGTACATTTTCTTGGTTATCTGAGCCCAATTTCCCATTATAAATGTAACTTCTGTCTTTGCTTGGTTAAAAGACCTATGCCAACAAATGACCATGTAGAGAGCTAATTTGTTCCCTGTGCTGTTTAAAAAGAAGGGGAAACATAGTGATATCCACAGAGAGGAAGAAAGTGTGATAGATCCTTCCCTGCTAATAATAGCTTTAATAATGTTTAATGTACCTTGAAAAAGTAATTGGTTCAAATAAAACAAACTGGAATTTTAAGACAGTACCCTTTTTAATTGCACACCTTCCCATTATTGTATTTTTAGCAGAACTTCCATCTGAAATGAAACCTAACTAGGTTAAATCAAACAAGGAATATAAAAGATATTTTGCTTATTTTCATCATGAAGTCCTAAAAGACTGCAAAGACACAGTACCTGTAAAGAAAACAGTATTTCACTACCACATTTTGTATGTTAGATTCCACTTGGATTAAAATATTGAAGTTTTTAGCAGTGATTTTTTTCCCAGTATTTTTCCTCAGTTGGTGTGATCTCAAAATATATGCATGTAAGCTTTTCTAAATGCCTAGAACCCGTATTTGGCAGCTGAAAGAGACCCCCATCAAATCCAACACCAAAGAAGTAGCCCAATAACCATAACTGTGCTGGCAGTCCAAACAAAAGCAGTGGGAGTTGGACAATGCAAGAGGATTGCGGTCCTCATGAATGTGTTACAGCCTGGTCCTTCATGGGGACATCCTGCTCACACTGAAAGTTGCTGATATTATTGAACAGAGGACCTATAAAACTGTGGATACTGATGCTCCAGACACTGATGTTATCTGTATTTCCAGAACCTCCCTTTTCAGAGGCAATTATTCAGAGAAAGTTGAAATGTGACCATTACTGTTAGAGTAAAACTGCCAGCAAAGCACCAGCTATGACACCTATTTGGAGTCATCCTAATAGCAACAAAATGCAACTGGCTAGCCATGAAATGTGATGCACCTGAAATCAAAAGTCACCAAGAAATGCTAACCCACTCTGGCTCCCCTTGTACCAAGGCTGATATTAATGCATAGAATGATCCCTGATTTACATATGTAAAAGCGTGAAGTTTCCTAAGTTTTCTCTCCACAGCTGTTCATTTGCAGTCTGGCAACTCCTTAGAGTGAAATACACAGTATCACATATGACAAATTAGCAACAGCTCTCTGAATTTTCCTTTCCATTTAGTATCTTAGAGCTTTGCTTTTCCTGTAGAAAAAACAACATGAGAGATTTGCTAATGACTACGTGCATCTAGACATCCTCCCACCGCAACTGGCAGCAAAGGTCCCCTAGACTCCTTAAGAGAATAGGTCAGCTCATGGTGAGCATTGGTGAAGGCTCTATGTTACAATCAGAAGTCTGGCTCCCAACAGGTGTATGAGACTTATTGGAGTAACCTGAAATTCCTCAAGAAAAAAAAAACAACAGGGTGAACTCCATATCCGAACCAGGAGACAGATGTTTTTAAAATGTTTTCTTATGCCTCTACACTGCTCTGTGTGATGCACTGACTTCTAAGAGTAGTTTCACATCAGTTTGCATAGCCATAAAATATACGTGACAGGAAAGAGCAGAACATGGGACTACTGATGACTGTCCTAAAACCTCTGGGATACAAATGCTCCAGGGCATATGTACCTTATCTGTAGAGCATGAAAACTTGGGACACAGGCAGTGTTTAGTGACAAAATTCTACAGGTCTTGTTGAGGCTGAGGTCCCACTAGACCTGCAGAAAGGCTCATGGTAAGAGTCCAAGCAGTTTTCTTTTCAAGCATAAAAAGAGCACTAAACAGAAATGTACTTGAGACAATCTTCTCTTGTCAGCATGGCTGAGAAGAGAAACACAGATCTAACACCGTGTTAATGATCATTTGCAGTATGCAGAGCACTGACTTTCTTACCTCTGTGGCTGCAGAACTGCCACCTAGGTCGCGGGAGACAAAAAGGTTGACAATGGGCCTACTTATTCGCTGAGTTGCCAAAATTAATGCCAAAGGCCACCAGAAACTCAGCATCTTCCTTATCGTAGCTTCTCCCTGCAAGACAGAGTAAAAAAAAAATATAGTGTGTTTCGAAAAAAATACACAGCACAGGACCAAAAGCACAGAGAAAGGTTTTTTGCTTTTCCCACCCATTGTCAGTTTGGTACATTCATTTCAGTAATTTTCAACATGAAGAGCCTAAAATATTATCACTCATGTTATTAATACTGATTCCAAAGAAGATGTGTCATGGATCCCAATAAATAATGCATAAGGTATCTATCTGCATAATTTGTTCTGACTACCAGACAAAGCTACATGAAAACCAATATGACATTTGAGGAAAAAGAGAAATTTTGAGATCTTCTTCCATGTGAACTAAGGTGATCACTTAGTTCATGGTGTGGTATCTTACAGCTCAGTACAGAGATAGTCAGTAGACAGTACATCCATACCGTGGAAGGCACTGTCTAATGTGCACTGTTGCCAGAATAGTTTCTACCATGCCTCTTTAAGTGAGAATGCCTTTTCCTGCAGGACAGAGAGAAGGCCCTTCATGCACAGAAGTTTAATAGAGTATTATAACACAAAACCCCCCAAGGTCAAAATTATTGAGTTTGAAAAAGCACAAGTATTAAGACATACCCCCATTTCAGGCCCACTCCTGTCAGGAATAGCATCATGTATGTTCCTGTAGTATCCGAGGCATAATGTGGTACATCGCACAAGTGCTCCCATGTATAATGACAAGATTGGGATCAAGAGAGGCTCCCTGCACTCCAAGTGACTGTGAAGCAAAATGGCTACAAAAACAACCTGCAGAGTAAATAAATAAATTATTAATAATTTGTTTGTGTGTTTCTTTAGGGCCAACATATCTCCTGTCTTGATTCCTAGCTAGTCCACCTGAACCAACAACCATGCATGACTACAGTATCTATCTGACTTCGAGTTTATGGTATTAAAAACTTTAATGAGGATCCCCCAGCATTTGGTCATAAACATGAGAAGAACAAGAGTTAACTTCTTACTCTGTTGAACAGTACTTGAAGGTTGGGCAGGTGTCACACACTACGAGCCATAAATAGGAGAACGGTAGCATGAAAGTCTGGCAAGGTCTGGCAGCAAGCATGTGGCTGAGTGTCACCCTTTCCAGGAGAATGTGCTATTCTGATAGACGCTGAGGCTGAAGACATGCTTCTACAGCCAGTTTTTAAGCCCTACTATTTTTTTTTTTTTTTTTTTTGCTGGGGAGGCTAGTGGCAATTAAAAAGCCAGATGTTTTAACATATTCACTTCAACATTTAGGAGCAGGAAGTCTTATGTCAACCTAATTTTCTACTTTTTTGAATTAAATTTCAGTATTTCATTATTTGCTCTTCGGCTGAGTGCCACATTGATGTAAATGCAATGGAAACTTTTGGGCTACTGAACAGCTCACAAGACAGCCTCTTAAGACTGAGTGCTCAATCCATAAAATCCAAAGGCATTGATTAATATGATATTATTCTCTTTGTTAAGTACAGAGTGCTTACATGCCTGCTAAATTCCAAATGACTCTGGATGGGGAGCACAACTGGAAAGCCAACTGTGTTTGGTGTTGTGAAGAGCAGAATACCTGCTAGGACATGCTGGCATTCAACTGAATCACAAGAAATACAACACACATTGTTCAGGTGCAGGTTCTCTCCTTCATGGCGAGAGCTCAAGAAGTAGTTAAATAAAAACACACACTGCAAATATTTCTGAGGCAGGCCACAGGGCTTATGAAGGTTTGCAAAACTGCTGTTTTAAAACCTACAAAACCATTGTTTTTCAGAAAACAGAAGCAAAGTCAGTCACGAAGAGTGTGCATATGAAGCTAACCAAGGAGAACTGGCTACTGCCTGCGCACCTATTGCCTGTGTAGAGAACTGATGTAGCTGTAGAGAGTTCTGGGGTAGGGAGAGTCTCAATTTTTTGTCTTCTGGACTTACTCTTGCTCTGTGTAATATTTTGCTGAGAGAAGATGACAGGTGTCTTACTCTTCACAACCCTGGGCACCCCACTCACCAATCGCTGTGGAAAGGGCATGGCCAAAATAAGAATTTGTTTCCATATTTAGCTGTGTATGACCTGACATGCACCTAGGGCCAACAAACTTTGTAGATCACATCAGAACAAGAGTAGACCATGAGGGTTAAGGTAATTTACAGTAATTGGTATTATCTTCAGGGATTTAGTGCAGTACTGTAGTGCGGCAGACCTGCCAAACCTGCAGTAGACATTGACTGAATAGTTCAATCTCATTTATGGTTTTCTCATATTTAGTGGGAGGAAAATGTTACGGAAAATTGAACTAAGTGCTGTTGACTTTATATTTCCTCTGATGTTGTATTGTTTCACAGTCTTTCTAATCCAGTCATTACACAATTCAGCTGGTAATGGGGCAGTACAGCAACTGTACAGGTGCTGGGACTCTCCATTTTTTAATATTTTCCTATATGCTTTCGAAAGAGGGCTGTATATTGGTTCTCAAATGCTACAATACTGGCCATCAGGAGTGTATGAATGTTGTTTTTTCAGTGTGCCTAGTACGAAGCAACAGGATAGTTAACACCTCCCTCACAAATGAAAGCTCAAAAAACATTTGGTCTTCTCTGCATCCCTCAGAGGTTATCACCACAGACCCTTTCTGTTGCCGTTCTGAGCCTTCACTTTTTGGAACAGTAACAAGAACAGTGCTGTACTGGCAACCAAAAGATGGTTTATACTATTGCATTTCACTAGATTAGAGAGCATTTGCAAAACCAATGTGTAAACTGGAGAATCAAGCCTTCACCTCCCAACTCAGGAGTTCATTGCAACTGCGTGAAGGGTGAGGGAGAACATATAGGGGGAGAAATGTCTCTTTTAAAGCACTCCATCAGCCTCAGGACTGGCAGGAGCCAGCGGTCTCTTTGCCTGATCTTTCTTTTTCCCAGAGGTACACACGTATATATATACAACTTGTTTCTCAGCCATTATGAAACAGGGTTGTGGAAGTCCTGGAGGACATAACCCTTGCCCAAACAATCCTGGTTCCCTACTCCTGATGTTGGTTTGGGACTGACTTGATTGAGTCAAATGAGACTGTCCTAAATCCCAACTGTCAGCAAACAGCCTTTATGTGATGGAGAAACAGCTACAGAATAGTACGAAAGATTACTTCTTCTGGTATCTTGCTCACAAAGGAGAGAGAAGTCACAGAGAGACTATTTGTACAACAGATTTTCTGGTTAGGAAAGCATCTGGTTCATAATACAATGGGAACAGTGACTTCTAGGAGGAGCCTTTACCTGAGCTATGACATCTGAGATGGAGGCACATCCCACCAGGAAACTGTACTTGTGTTTCAGCAGAATCCCAGCATGGGTCCATGCCTAAAAAAAGCCAGAGAAAAGTTTGGGAACTGATTATGATGTTGTGAATGATTTCAAGTCCCAGAATACTATTTTCTGGTTGTTACATTGTACACAAGCAACCTGCAAAGCTCTTTTCCACCAGCAGTACCTGGTCTGAACCTGTGCAAACGTTAAGCCATTAATGCAGAGAAAGCACTGTTGCATTCAGTTCCTCATTGCCAGGGTTGACAGGGAGAATGGGAAAAATTTTATAGACTGTATAGAAATTTCTGAGTGATCTAATAAGAAACCACCCCTTCATAAATGAGATGCTGCATAGGATGAATTATCATAATATATAATCCAATGTATTCTCATTCACCGGCTGGATGCACCTCTTAAGTGTAATATTCATAGGTCCACTGAGTTATACTGTGTCCTGTCTGGAAGAGAAAATTTAATGATCCAACTTATTTTTATTGTCAGCTACTGTTTCAAGTAGATAAAGTGGTAGAGAAAGTGGTGGACGCATTGCCATGAGGTTCTCCTTTACCAGTTTTACACAGCAGAAGCATTAAAGGGAGGTGCCATGTTTTTATGTTGGCAGGCCATGAGCAGCAAGCCTGGTGATCTGGGAAGCAGCAGTGCACCCCATGTGGCTCTCTTGCCCAATCATTTGAGATATACTGAACTTAGCTGTGCTTGCAAAAACGGACAGTAAGAAATATCTTTCCAACAAATTTGTTTTGAGAAAATATTGACCTTATTCATTACAAGCTCTGCAAGTGATCTGGGAATGCATGGCAACTCTAAATCTTCCACTACAAATGGGAACGAGAAGTCTTATACAGAAAACCAGTGTAGCTCTTCACAAGATAACCAATGCTTTCCAACATGCACGTACAGTAGCTCTGACAAGACAGCTGAGGTTTTTGACATCTGTCATGACCTCTGGATGTTTAAAGTCCACCCAAATGATTTTTCCGCGTAGCAGGAGATGATGAGTTCGTAGGAGATGATGAGTTCAGGTATATCCAGAGTTATGGCTTGCAAAGGACATACCTTGCTTCTGCATACCTTCAGTTTCCCATCAGGTAACAGACTTCGTGAACTAAGGCCATAAAAAACGTTACATTAATATTAAAATTCAGTTCTGAATCAGGCACTCACCATGGCATCCATAAAAGGGAAGGCAGCAAGATAAAGGAAGGCCCTCCGAGTTTTACTTCCCACTGATTCATCCACATGGTGCAGCTTATTAATAATGTAATACCCCAAATCGCTATATGCTGTAGAGACACAAGAATACGAATGAAAAATAAAGATTACATATGAGCTCTGGGTGAGATATGCAGAAGTACCTGAAGGACTGTGATGCCTTGGAGCTCAGACACCCATCCACTTAGCAAACAGCTGCAAGGGCTTCAGGGTATTACAGCCTCTCCAGCTGCTGTTTATGACTAAGAAGTGCCCTCATGGTTCTTTTTAAAGTAACCTTTGGCAGAGGAGTGATAACAAATGGCTGGTTTGGAAGATGGGTATAGTAAGTGCCACATCTGTTTGCTAAACGAACACACTGGTACTCCAGAAAATCTACTGCTCCTTCATTAAATCAAGGCTCTTTGTTAGAAAAGCTGTTTTCACCAGGCATTGTGTATTTCATGGGATATAGTGCCTTATAAACGCTGAAACCATCTATTATCACTGCATTCTCTTGACATTACCTGTAAACCTGCTCAAAGCTGTAAAAGGATAGTATGATTTGTGAAGGCATGCAACAAATCACACTCATTATGCCTCTCCTTTACTCTGTCTAATGACCACCTCTGATGGGACCTGTCAGGGCACTGTGTGCTTTGCTGTCCAGTCCCTGGGCAGCCTTGATCAGCCTTAGTTTCTTTCCTTATCTACAGCCAACACCTCAGGAGCCACGAGCCAGAAAAGAGCATCTCTGGAAATCAGGGAGTTCCCACTTCTGATTGCCAGTATATTATTTCGCTGTCCTATTTCAACCCAAGACAAAAATTCTTAGTGTTGGGCAACACACCTCTTTCAAGGTCTTTCTTTCCAAGAAGTGTTGGGTTGAAGATAGCACAGATGCAGGGACTTGCCACACACCTCTCTAAAGAACTGTTTACGGTTCCATTAGCATCCATATTATCCAGCTGTTTTAATAACCTCCAAGTCCTCCCCATAGCAAGGAATAATGAAGAGCTAGCTGTGACTGGAGTCTCTCAACTATACAGACATATCTAATAGGCACAGTTAAATAATCCAAATAGTTTTTAACCTTTTATAGACTATGTTCTAGACCTGTGTATCATTACTTAATTTCCCTATACACTCGTAATAGCTGTTAAAAGAATGATTTGGCTGTAAAGTCAACCTCCCAAGACAAGTAATGGCAGAATTACTTGTGCCTGAGGAACCTTACCTCAGTTCTCTCCCACTTGTGTCTTTTCTAAGATAACTATTTCTAATGTGAACACTATCTGGTTTTTCATCTATAACAATTCTATTCTCTTCGTACAGATCTTCATATAGGGTATTTCAGGAAAGTTACCCTTTTCATGCATCAGGTCTCATAAATGGATTGACAAATGCTAGCACTAGTCATCCAATTCAATCTTCTTAGCCTGTCTCTCATAACTCATAAACAGTACTTGGAAGCAATTGAGGAGTTTCAGTCATCATTGTTTTGCAATGGCTTAGGGATACAGCAGTTAAATGATTAACAGAACTGAAAGGACTATTTAAGTCCAAATAAGACAGTGTAAATAACATAGTAGAATAGAAGGAGGTGGTATGATAGCATTGGGAACTGGCACAAGCCTCATTCCAGACAACCAGGCCTATATGTCTTCTGCCTGAGCTATGACTGTTACACCCACAGTCTCCGAGTTCACACAGTAAATCCCAAGTTGCTTAGCCATCTTCCTGGGGCACTCCCAGCCTTGTTTCCTTTTGAAGGAGGTTGAGGAAGAACTTTAAACCAAAACTCCAACCTTTCCTCAGTTCAGGGAGGCCAGTTTAGCTCCTTAAAGTGTTCAAGTGCTTGTTGCACTTCGGTCAAACATCAAGCACAGTCTCTTTTTATTTCCGCATGAGTACCCATGCACCAATCTTTGCTCAGTGTTTGGAAAACTCTCTGCTATGCATGGATTTTTGTGTGGTAAGTCCTTGTTGAAAGCTGCTTTTATGGCAGGGCAGTACATGGCCATTTCTGAATCGACTTATTTCAGTGAAGGAGAGGAATCTGGAAGGTGTGTGAGACAAGCCACATGTGAGGGTCAGATTCATTGAGCTGTCTCTTAGGTTCCATTAAGGTTGCTTTACACTTCTGCATAAAACCTTAAAAACTGCTGTAGGAAACACACCATCTTCTCCTCCACATAGGGACTGACAGAATCAGAGTCCAGGTGTTGAGGAAGCTGCTTCTGTGGAGAAGCCTCCTCAAGCACTGCCATTCTAGAAGCACAGCATGCTGCAGAAGTCACCCTCCATCCTCTCCATGAACTCTGCCTGTTTTACATGAGACTTTAAAAATGTTTAGAAAGTGAGCAATAAGTAACTTTTTTTGCTCTAAAAGCCATTGTGATGTTTAAATTTATTTTTTTTTTAAGTTTACTATCACGGAAAACTACTCTCACTTCTAGGAACAAACAATTCACCATAGGGTTGTAGTTTATTGACAAGGCACTCTCAATGGGACTTATACCATCACAGCCCACAGCACCACATTTTTAAAATTTCTAGGGATATCAGCACTGAGCTCTGTAAGCTTAGCTTTAGTATTTTTTTTCTCCCTCCATCAAAAAAAAGTCTAACTGCACTTTTTAATGTGAATTTGGTTTCAAAACCGTAATGGTTAAGCTTAAAACGTTATTTTCAAAATGGCCAACTATTTCATATGTCAGTGAAAGCAAACAGTTACTTTTGCTGGTGTCCATGAATGTTTCCCTCCTCAGAAAGAAGGACTCAGCAAGCTGAGTTTTACTAACAAATATACAGGCATGTGCCACTGAGCTGTGAATCAGGCAATTGCTGATGCAATTAGAACTTAACCTTGGCCAACCTTACAAACTTATTATGTAGAACAGTGCAAAATTAATAACATAGACCACAGAGCCAAAGAGTATTACATGAGTCTGAAGCAGATGGCGCTTCCCATTTCTTACATAATTTCAACCAAAACAGAGAAGTCCAACTCCAAGACAAGCTGCCTGTTTGCTCTCCCCTAATACCTAATTTATTTTGCTATGTGGATCAATTTTGCTACAGAAGTTAAGCAGGAATTCTTGCTTTTGGCTTTTCCAGTTGAGTTTTAAGACCCAGAAGCTTAAGAAATGACATTGAAAACTGTATACCTAATTGGATCTCCTCTTTCCTACACCAATTTCTCTAAGAAGCCAATCATTACCACATAAACTTCAGATATTTTTAAAACAACTGAACACACTCTTAATGATGCCAGCAGTCTCAGACAAATAGCTGTACTATAGTTATTTTGGAGCTGACTACTACTGAACATGTTATACTTCAATCATAAGGAAAAAAAAAGAAACTCTCATAGGAAGTGATACCATTTTCTTCCAGGCATGGAGCTACATGTCAGTACTAGCTTTACCACAGGAAAAAAAGAATCAAAAAAATGTTTTTGGGTTAAAGCATGTTCTAGACACATTCCATTTTCATACTTTGCTGCCAGTTTTAAAAATTAAGTCGGAGACTTTAGAAGTAAAAAATCTATTCTGCTACTTGTCAGAAAGATGGCTCACATGGTTAAAACTGGTGCTGATCAGGAGTTTCTCAATCACAATCACAGAATATTCTGAGTTGTAAGGGCACCACAGGCACCACTGAATTCAGCTCTTAAGACAATGGCCCATACGGGGATCAAGCCCATGACCTTGGTGGTATTAGCACCATGCTCTAACCTGAGCTAATTTGTTCAGCTAAGTGATTTGGGCAGATAGGAAAATATCAACATGAAAAAATAAAACTAAATAGCAAATCTTCATTTGGAGATGGCATAAGGTATATAGATTCCTTTATGTCTTTGATTACCCTGATCTAAAACAGAAGAAAAAGCCTGTGTCCCCCCTTGTGAAAGCCCAGATGATCAGAGCGTCTAAGGCTTTGTGTTTGGTTGGGGTTTTTTTTCTGCTTATTTTTACATGAATTAGAAAAAAAACAAAACAGTTTGGGAGCATCTCAATGCAGACTGATTACTGCAATCACCTTTTTCCATGCTCAGCTCTAGTTCCAAAATTCCATTAGTTGATTTTCCCAAATCTATCAATGACAGTTGGTATCTGAAATATCTTCAGATAAGCCAGCATCTCATGAGTGTCAAAATTTGGCTGTTTTAAATAAAACAGTCATTGTATCCAAAAGTGCTTTGGTGTTAGGCTTTCTTCCTTTGCCCCGAGTATCTTCCTGAGAAGAAACTGCCCCTGCTGTGGAAGAAGGGTTGGGGCAGCCAGGGAAGCATGTTACTGCTTTAACAATGGCCATGTGAAGATGCTGAAGCAGGACAAATTTTTTTAATGAATAACATTTTAATTTTATTTGGGGGAGGGAGGAAGGCAAATCTGGATTATATTCTGATTTGTGCTCCTGTCATTTTTTTCCAGGGCAAAATGTTCAGTGTGAGCCAGTACAGTGGGCACATTTGAACAAGACTGATTGGAAAAAAACCCTCAGCTTGTCATAACCCACTCTGTAACTCCTAGTCTCTAGAAAATTCCGGTAGTGTTACACAGGAATTGGTGAGATTACACCTATGTCTCACTTCTTATGCAGATCTTTCATGTACATACAGTGACTATGCATGTGGGAAGTTCAAAAGGATCAGTGGGATTATCAGAAACTGCTAAATTTTCCCCTGTGCAATCTATGCTGGAGTGGCCTATGCCCACTAGCCTATTAGTAATAAATGGGCACAAAACAAATCACTCATATGTCTTGTCCATCCAATCTGCTATAGATTACTAAAGTTAATTTATACTAAAGTTTACTGGTTACTAAAGTTCCAACCATTTTCTCCTGGTGATGACCATGATCTCTCATGTAGTTTTCAATCAGGTGTAGTGGGCACCAATTAAGGATGTCTGCTTAAGCAAAGAGGATGTTTGCTCTAAATAACTTCTGCCTTGTCATTTCCAGAACCTCAGAGAGTTATTCAAGAGGAAATAAAATTTCTCAGTATACTATTTCTCAGTAACCTAGTGAAAAGTTGAACAATGCTGTTTTATTGCCAAAGAAAATGTGCATGTCCTTCATGACACTGGTGTTAAAAGGACTCACTTAGTTTGAAGGGCTTGCAAGCAACACTAAGAAATGCATTATGTTAGCATAAAGTTATATAAATTACTTTTCTCCTCTGTCAAGCTGGCAATTTAGTAAGATATCAAAAATATACAAAGACAGGCTTAGCATCTTGAATCCCTTCTCTTACAGCCACCAAAATGCCAATCTCTGAAATAATGAGACACTTTAGACTCTGGCTACACAGTGAACTTCCCACCAGGAAACCCTAAATGGCAGCAGTATCTACCCCCAAAATAGCTCAATGGAAGGAAGGCAGCATACTATCTTCTATTTCCAGATGACACCTGAAACAGCAAATCCAGGAATACTGTACTGACCAAGGTTTGCAGCAGCATTATAAGTGGGATGAGAATATAGTTTCAGATCCCTTCAGTCAACTTGGTTCTCGGTTCTTACTGATACCTGTACAGGGAAGTGATAGGAACTGTTGGTGAGGACTTTGCAGATGTTCATAGGAATGTGGTGGGGACCCAGAGCTTGCAACTGTGAGTTCGAGTAGTTTAGCTCAGCCAGTCACTCCCATAGAGGATTGTGTGAGGCCCAGAGGGGAAGCAGTAGTGGGGAGTTGGTGCTGAAGCAATGAAGCATGAGTCAGGTGGGTGAGACAGTCTGTTTTGATATTTTAAATGAGTAGAGGTTGCTGTTTGTGAAGAGCTGTGTGTGTAGACTGCAAATAGTCTCTATCGCAGTTGGAAATGTGGTGATTCATTGTGGTCAATGTGTTTCTACCACCACTTGTTTTCTTCCTTCTGACTTTTGGTACTCTGTATTTCATCAGGCTTTTTGTTTCCTGTTTCTTCCTGGGCTTTGACAGTCCACAGCAGATAGTCATGTCATCTTCCTTAGCCCTATATTCATGGCATGTAGAAGAAATTCAGTCCCCTGAGTGTTGTTTGTTTCTCTTTTTCATCCACCGAGCATCAGTACCCTGTATTTGTGTCTCCTGTAGATTAGCCTGTGATAGGCTTGTAGCTGCTGGGGAGTAGTTGCAGGTCCTAGGAGGCTGCCTGTCACTGAACTCCTTCTCTTCCTCCTGCTAGGCAGGCTGTGCATCTGTGGGTCAGAGCAGAATAATCAGGATTTGAAACAGGTTCAAAGGAAACTTGGAACATAAAACTTGGCAACGTCGCCCAGGCAATTGGTGCTAGAATCTGACTAACTCCATTCTCTCGGGCGCTCTGCCAGTCTCTGCTGTGGCCTTTGCATACTTTCAGGCATAGGCAAGTTAAAATACTAAAAAATATTTTGCAGTCTGTCACCATAAGCAGCTGAAAGATTGTGTGCAGCCCTTTAATTCAGGACTTTAAAGCATGGCAAGCACAGCCTCCTTTTTTTCCCCCAGTATCTGCAGAGGGCATTTCAGAAGTTCTAAACTTCCAGGCAAAGGCAAGAAACTTATCTGGCAGATTTTCCAACCGTTGTTCCAAACATCTCCTTTCAATAAGAAGTCCCACATGGAAAATCCAGTTATGTCTTTCACCTGGAAATTTGACAGTTATACTTTAAATTTTGTTAAAATCTATCCTAGCTTAAAATAAAATACTGAATGACTAGAAAATAATTTTTTATCCAGCTGGTAAAGCCTAAAATTTTGACCAGCACTGGCAGGAAAGCAAGTGAGCAACTAGAAGAGCAGCTCTGGGGGCTGAAGAAACATTCCAAGCAAAGAAACATGAGTGCCAAATGTACAAATGGCCCAAAGTTTATAATACTGACTCAATAAAGCAGTCTCAAATATCAACATATTGAGGAAGTGACCAATCGCTTTCAGTGAATTAAATTAACTTGAATGCAGGTATTCAGCTTATAAAATTAGCATGAGCTTATCCCTGGTACAGAGTTGCCATGCCTAGTGAGCCATTATTGTAAGCATTTATTGTGACCATAACATGGAGCAAAGGTAAATAGCACAGGGCTCTCGTATCAGTGGTGGAATAAGCGATGTGATAGTCAACAAACTGTAGTGCTTGGGAGGCACATAAAGCTGGTGACTATAGCTGACAGCCTGTTAAAGGATAAGAGCAGAGGGCATTTGAATTTACCAGATTTACCTACTCAGGCAGGAACTGAAATAGTCCTATTCTAGTCTAGTCTAGTCTACTCTAGTCTAGTCTCTTTAACACTATAGGTTGAACAGCAACACATGTTGCTCTTGAGATACTAAGAGACTGACAATTAATGGTGCCTCACTTCCAGGCCACTCTGTGATTTCATAGCAATTCAGGATATTGCCATTACACTTGCATTTCCCATTTTTCTGTGATGGAATGGCCCCCTACTGCTGGTCATCCAATTCAACACTACTGCCTGTCAACCGACACGAGGCTCCATAGGCTGTCACATTACTTCCTCCCTCCCACCCCTTAGAACTCTCAGCTTTTGGGATTTTACCTGCTCAGTGCAATGCCCTTTCTGCTTCTTCCTCCAGCATCTCCTGCTCCTCCTTGCTGAGGTCCAGAGATTTCGGCTCTGTAGACTGAGCCAGAAGGTGCAGAGAATCCGGTGCAGTTTTTGGAGAGGATGAAGTTAAAAGTCTTCCAAGTCACGTGACTTTTTATTGCTGTGGCTGATGCTTGAGCTGATATCCCATTTCTCCAGGCTCTCAGAAACTGGCAAATTCTGTGACTGCCTTACTTTTTACATTCAGTTCATGTTTGCTTGTGTATTTTCTTTGTTTCAGAGTCAGAGTACACTCAGGGAGCTGGCCTCAGTTTGGTATAAAGTGCTCTTATTAACTACTTCCTCCCTTACAGATTAATTATTCAACAGAAGTGGACGATGACTAGCAGTAGTAGAGAGTAATACCTGATATTTTAATGAGCATGCTGGCACTTACTTGCTTCGAGTTTTGTACTGTAAGTAGCAAAGGGATTGGTACAGAGGGAGTACACTGACAATGCTACCAAGAACTGACAGACAGCCCTACCAAGCACACCTTAAAACCCTGCCAAACCCATTCCAGCAGATACTGCTAGTTGATCATCATTACCTAACAGTAACACTGAGCTATCAGCTTCAGGCAACCTGTCAACCTAGCCAAAGATTTGCTCACACACCTGACTGAAAGAGATCAGCAGCATGTTCAGCTGCTAGGCAGGAGAGCCCTGTGGGTGGAATCTGATCCTTAACAATTTGTTTAAAAGGTAATAAAAATCGTGTGGACGGGCATGATACCAGCCCAAGAGATTTCATCTCTTTTACATCTCCTGTTGCACTTACAAATGAAATATTAAGCCTACACATTAATCAGTTTGAAGAACAGGCAAGGGAAGCAAATGAAATGACACAACTACATGTGAAGTGACCTTACCTATTAAGGTATGAAATATAGCAGCTACAGCGCCAGCCACAACCATGCACAAAACTGCTTTGGTCCTGTCTCGCTTGCTGTTCACAAACACCAGACCTACATTTTTGAAGTCACTCATTGGACCCGTGAAGAACTTCATCAGGGAGTATGCCAGCCCATAGCTGGCCAACATTTCCACAGCATCTTCCTTGACAGCAGCAATGCCCCTATTCAAGGCCTGTGGAAACAAAAAAAGAGCAAATAATGTAGCACATGTGGAAGTATACCAAACACAGTTTTCTGCATCTGGTTTCTGAAGTAACAAGCAAGTACAGCTGTCATTGTTTTCATCCCAAGCTGGAGTTTATTTCTCTGGATTCAGCAGGAGTAGCTTGTGACCTGTTACGCAGGTAAAACAATTTAATATAGACTAAATTCAAGTCGAGTTGAAGATAAGGTAAATATCTGTCTCTAAAGTGTATAACGGAACTCTTGCTACACCAGAAGTCAGTCTCTTCCCTTTTTAGAATAATTTTATGACCTACTAATAATCACAGATGATACAAGATCACTGAAATATCGCTTTGAGGCCTCAGCCCTGATTTGAACAAAGCACGGTACTTGCAGGTCATCTTTAAAGGTAAAAACTCTGACATTATTAACTGTTCAAAGTTCAGGAGCTCAAAAGTTTTTTTCAGTGTAACAAGCTTTTTACAACAGCACATGTAATTGTTCTTAATAGCTAATATTAGTCTATGATTTTTATTATGAAATGAGGCCAAATATGCCCATGATTAAACATAACTGATATCCTTTCATCTATTTTACAAGGTTCTGATACTATATTCATTTACATCTCCTTGTAGCATATTTAGAAAGAAATACAGCACATATCTTTTAAGACATATTCAGGTACAACTAACATACTAATTCATTCTAGGTCCGTATTTAGGAAATGTCTGCCAATGAATCAGAGAGAATTAGATGGATTATTTTTATAACTGAGGTGAACCATATTAAAAATGTGTAACATTCCTTCAGATTCCATCTTGAACAAAAATGCTTCTCAAATATTGAATAAAAATGACAGAATGATAGATTTTATCTGCAGTGTGACAGCATCAATCATCTAGTACACCCAGCAAACTGTTAAAACAAGATTAGATTCAAAAAGCATGAAGGATGAAATATGACTTGTTTTAACAAGTATTTAGCTCCTGTGGGTTACAGCTGATGCATGCTGACAGGGCCATGACAATGAGACCAATCAGGAACATCTTGCCAACCCACCTCAGTCTGTCCACTTACACAGCCATCCTATTACCACTTTACCTGAATGAACAAACCAGGCAGAGTATCATCACGTAACTGTGGTAAAGTCCTTCCATTTCAAATGTAAGCATAGCCTTTTTATTGCAGTCTTTTGACTTTTTTTCCCTTCCAAAGACCATACAAGCAAGCAACTCCTACTGACTTCAAAAGAAACTGCATCCGTGAAGCAGAAATGAGCATTTTTCCTACTGCTCTTTTCCACTCTTCCTGTGAGACATGATTAATATTTGAAACTAAAGCTGCACTGTCAAAATAGCAAAAAAGCCATAGAAAATACCACCTTCTCCATCCTTGATGCCTGCCAAATCTCCCTCCTGTAATATGCTCTGACCTGAATGCCTGAGGCTCCAAATGTTTTCATCGGTCTTGCTTCAGTTTGTTCCTTCCTGAAAACACCACGTGTTAGATATGGAATAACTGCAACTCCTCTATGTAACCTCTCCTGGGATATAGATAATTCCATCTACTGCACTGGTATCAATTCAAATTATATTTAATCTGCAGACGCCAAAACCACTAGTGGGTTCACAAAACTGCATTCAAACAATTTGTGGAAGACTGTAGCCTCTGAAGTGAATAGTCAAGTTTAGCTGGATGATGTCATAATTGGTATTAAGGTGTATACAATTTTTTAATTTAAACTTCCTAGAGATGCTGAATCTCTCAGTTGTTGTTACCAGTAACAGGCAAATAGCCTTAGATTATGACAAATAAAAGGTTCCTTCATCATGGCTCTTCCCTTCTCTTTTCTTCTGTCAAAAGTGAAATCTTTCTGGCAGCTTCAACTTAAAGAGAAACAGCTAACCAATTTCAGGCAGTCTAATTTAAAAGCTTCTTGTCACATGTAAACAGCTGAATTATTTCCAGCACAGTTTCAAAAGCACAAGTGCTTCCTTCCTGCTTTGTACAACTACAGAATACCAGAGTCTGTGGAGGATGGTAATCCACTTCTGACAAGGCCATGGGATAACCTGGCTTTAAGAAATAACATTCTGTCAAGAGGCATGGCACTATGATGCCTGTGCAGAGAGACAAATCTTTGCCTAGCACAGACCTCATGCCAGTGAAAACAGTTCCATATGAATTTGGCTCCGGGGTAACTAAGTTTTCCCACATAAGCAGGACAGACAGAAAGACTTGAGCATTCCTTTTTCTCTCCCTCTCTGGTTTTACTGGTCTTTTTTGTATGAACAAATGACAGCCAAGTAGGTAACTTCCTGAGTAATCTTCCCTGGAGACACCCTATGTACCAGGTAAGGTAAACTGGCAAAACACAAAAGGGACTGCTCTAAGAGGAATGTTGCCATTAATTTATACTCCTGTGGAATGCCTGGCTGACATGACGAAATACTCTAGAGGCTAGTGCTGAAAAAGCAATCCTCCTAAGTGCTTCTATGGAAAGATCCTTAGGAAATGAACAGTCAATAGGCCTGTGTACAGATGGTTTAGCTTCTGTAGTCTTTTCCTTTTTCACTTTTAGATGACAATGTAAAAGGCTCTTCATCCTCAACTTTCAAACACTATAAGAAAACTTGTGTAGCTTTTCTACCCCATGTACCTTTGAATATCTTTGCTGCTGAAGCTGCTGATGTCATATTTAATATCCTTAAACCCACAAGAAATCCCAGATAATTGATAAAGCTGCTTCGGGGTGCAATATGAAAGATGCAGGCATTTGATCTTTCATGGCATGCCACCCATGCAGTTGGTAATCTTACAGTCTAATTTCCTGTTAGAGTTCCAATTAAATCTGTCATAAAGGAAGACAATATAAACTAGGGCAAGGTCTTCACTTTTTAATCTGACTCTATTTTGTATGCTTTTTGTGTGAACAAAAAATCAATAACAAAGGTTCATCACTAGCATCTGTATTCACAAGAGAGCATAACTTCACAAAGATCTGTGTAGCTTGTCAATGAAATCACACAGAACTAGGTAGTAATAATACTAATGACAATATTTAATACAACCATGTAGCTTGATCATACATATTTCAGATGTCAGCCTATTTTGAGATGGCTTATTCACACCAAAATTGATGGGATAACTAGGAAATCCAGATGCTGGAAGACAGACTATTGTTGACATCACCTTCTCCTGAGTTCTTAATGAACCACTGAACATAATACAGTACTAGGTGAAAGTGTCACAGTGAAGTGCAATTCTTCACACGTGATTAAAACCAAGCCACAGATACTGGTGACCCTTCTTTTAGAAATAACAGGAAAAAAACCATAGAACACTTTCAGGCACAGCACAGTCTGGTAAGTACATGGACAAGTTAGTTGAAATAAGTCATATTCCTAAAATACTTCTCAAAAAGGCAGACACCAAGATCTACAGTTACTTCTATACAATGTCTTTCTATAACACATTACATTAACACTAGAAAGATGAAATCTTTACTAGAGGACATGGTAACAACCCTTTGAGCCTTTTTTTAATGAATAATTGTGTGCGGTCTTTAATGTTCACTAAAATCAGAGAGGATTAGCATTTTTAAACTCCTACCCAAAAGATTCAAGTCAGAGGAATACCGAATAATACACTTAATGACATTTCAAGTCAGTAACCACATCTTAACAATTGGGTACTGCAGCTGGCTTTATCCTCTTACAAGGAACATATGAGACCTCTATCAAATTTCTAGGACATGCATGATGGATGAATCCAACAAACTTTTGCAGGCAAAGGCGGCGATTTAAAAAGCAACAGTTGTGAGAAAAATGTCAAATGACTTGTCCTATTTTGCATGAGCTTTTAGCACTATACACTAATATTGGTAGAAAAGGTTTGGTTTCAATCTATGGCTACACATCTCTGTTGCCAAAAATTCAAAGTCCATCTCTTGAACTGGCTCTATAGAGTTTAACCATTACTCACATGATCCTCTCCTCCCAGAGACTACTGGATGACTGATGTTTTATTTTGCATTGGTTTAGACATATAAAAATATTTTAAAAATACACTGAGAAAGCAATACCTATTGTATAGGTTTTCTTCTGATTTTAAAACTGTTTTACATACTGCATAGAATTTCAATAGTCTATATCTGACTAGAAGGGCATATTTTCTACTTCATTTGAAGTTAACTACTGACCGTGCAGTTCAAAGCTGGGATCTTGGCTGAGATGTTTTCAAGTTTGCTCAGGCTATTTATTTACCCAAGAGTGACATCAAAAATCTGCTCAATTTGGCAGTATCTCGGCCAAATGTATGTTCAGTTCAGCAAACGTTTTTAATGGTTACCCTTCTTCCTACCTGCTCTCTCCCAAGAAAAATGGAAGAGTGCCAACACATCCAGGTAAAGAGCAGGCTGATGTAGAGGACAGTCTTTCCCCTGTGTCAAATAATCTCTCCTGATGATTGTTGGCTGAGTTTTCATTTACTAAGTCCTGTCATGCTACAATCTTCAGCATCAAATGTACCAGCTGGCTCTGGTTGTTCTGCCTCCTGCTGTCACCACTGCCAGAAGGACACCTGACACATCTGATGCTCTGTAAGCACGGCATAATTAGACCACTGTGTAGGTGACAACCTGAGCATTATCACATCTGCATCTCTGCTTCTGGTAAAAGCATAAAGGCAGAAACCCCTGATAGGCAATTTGACATAAACAGCTAGTGCTCTGACACAGGTTTCTGTAAGACTTCCACAGACACAGGCATAGAAGTGGGAGAAAACTGGGCAAAAATAACATGCACACATTTATTCTGGCTCAAGCAGACTGTCCAAACATACTATACGAAGAGAGAGCCCTGTAGGGTAGAGGGACTCAGACCTTGTATCCTGAAAATTATGACTGAAGAGTGTTCATTGTTTTAGGTCTTTTGTTTTGGGGTTTGTTTTGTTTTGTTCTGCAAGGTTTTCACCCTAATTCAGTATATCTAATTTTGGGTCAGCATC